GCAGCCACGAATAGGCTGCAAACGTACGTATGTAACACGCGTATATATGAATATATATTTGTATAGTTTTGAATAAGAAAATATTCAAAAGAATATGAACGCTATGAAAGGCGATAGAAAAGGAGTTCTTCGACTAATTTTACAAGAACAAATTGAAGAACGTAAACGATATTTTCTCTACGAATTTAGAGAAAAACTGTCGAAAAAGGAAAACAAAAACAAAACTATTTTTTGTTTGTCAGGTATTCCCGTAAATGGACTTTGACCGATTATCAAAAAGGGAATCCGCGACGCGTTGTAACGACGGCCACACAAACAAACGAAACACTTTATTTTTTATTGTTTTTGCTCACTGCACTATACGTACCAATAATTATTTTATTAATGCTGTGGACTGTAAAAGCAGCAACCCAATGGTCTTATCCAGAAGAAGCCAATCCGTATCGCGGCTCGAAGTGACCAAATGTTAAGTCCGCACTATAGGGACTTGGGTGGTTGGCAGGTACAGTGCAATAGATTCTCCCAATAGAGTCAGTACGCCCAGTACGTACTCGTGAGCAATAAAGAAATAGAAATAAAACACAATATGTTTTTATTAGTAAAAGGTTCGACCAATGCCGATATTTATTTGTTGGTAACGATATTACCTTATTAGCACAACTATATGTGCGTAGCTTACAATTTAAGCCAAGGTGTTCACAACGATATGTGTAGCCAGTCAGTTAACAACGAAAGTACTCAAGTAATAACAATGTTGTTTGTTGACACATAGATGCCTAAAGGTGGCGCAATAGCAAAATGTAAACAAAAGTCCGTTGAAATCTGTCAGCCTCTTACAAGGATGTAATAATGAGGAGTAGACAGATTTCAACGGCTACGACCTTTCAAATTAAAGGCAAACTATTTAACTATTTTACACATCGATTCTTGCTTAAACAAGATGGCCAAAGATTGGATGGAATCAAAATTTTCTGAAATTTAATTATCCATTACAAATTTCTGAAATTTGTTTTATATTTTACATTATGGTTTACATAATCGGTTTGTAAAAATCTCGATATAGGTCCACTTTTTGGTATTTTCCCTATATTTTCATTTCAAGTACCTGTCAGTTTATTTATGGTGGAGGGTATCCAAAGTTCGGCCCGGCCGAACTTAACGCTTTTTTACTTGTTGATATTACGAAAGTTATATAAGATGTTTCAATACAAAATTTTACTGTGTTGAAAATTTCTTAAAATAAATATTAAAGTCCCTATATATCATTCGATTTGCACGAAATAAAGCTTGAAAGGAAAAATTGTACTCTTCGAAAGAAAAAAAGAATAATATAAATCCGTTATAAAGTAAATAAGTTGTTCAAGTTTCAAATTGAAAATCCAAGAAACCACATTTTCTCTATATTTACCGTTATAAAATTAATTTTCGAAGTGACCCAGAAAAACCAAAGGTATTTTCGTGGTCCAGGGACTCCAACTAAACAGATTTGGTACATTAGAACCCCTGAAAAATCTTCGTGTCGCACAGTGTTATTAGTGGGTGCACAATTTGCATGAACTCACAGGAAAATATAGAGCGTTAATATCAACATATGCATACATTTTACATAATCCAATATAAATTTTTCTAGATTTAAATTAGTTAAATCGGATGCATATATATATGGGAGCTATATCTAAATCTCGAAATCAATCAAATCAAAACCGATTTTCTGGAAACTTAACACACTTCATTCTAGACCTAATTCAGTACCCCATGCGAAACTTCGTGCAAATCGAAAGATGTATAGGGACATTGGTACACTATTTACATTAAATCGGACGAAAACTATATGAGAGCTGTATTTAAATCTGAACCTATTTTCACGACACTTAACACACATAATTCTAGACTTAATTCAGTACGCTATGCCAGGGACTATGGTACTTCATTTACTTTGGTACTTCATTTACAATAATCGGACTAAAAAATAAAAAAAATTATATATAAATTCATTACGCTATGCGAAATTTCGTTCAAATCGAAATATATATAGGGACTTTGGTATACCATTTACATAAAATCGGACGAAAATATATATGGGAGCTATATAAATCTGGACCGATTTTCAGGAAATTTAACACACATCATTCTAGACCTAATTCAGTACGCCAGGGCAAATTTCGTGTTAACCGAATGATATATAGGGACATTGGTACACCATTTACATTAAATTGGAAGAAAATATATGTGGGAGCTATATCTAAATCTCAACCGATATTTCCCAATTTCAATAGGGTTCATCCTTGGCTGAATAAGTGACATATGCCAAATTTCATCCAATTCGGGTCATAAATGCGACTTCGCAGTTTGATTACAATTTAACGTGGACGGAAATTTTCATTTTAACCCTCGGAAAGATTCGTCTGTCTTTCAGCAAAAACAAAAACATGAGGAGTGTTTCTGTGTAGTTTAAAGTTCATCTGACAGATGGCGCAACACTGAACTCGTTGTTTGCTAAAAATCTCGCTAAGTAGCCACAGTCAAGGTGCTTAGTCTTCATTGTAAGCTTTGGTTGTTAGTCGCGTTCTTGAGAATTTTTGAGGATGAATTTAGCTACCAATGCGGTAATTTTCGTTTTTGTTTTGCTATTTTGGCGTTAGCATTTTAAACCCAGGATACAGTTAATTATCATGCCATTATAAAGGTTGAACCCTATTGAAATAGGAGGAAATCGGTTTAGATATAGATATAGCTCCCAGGTATATTTTCGTCCGATTTTATGTAAATGGTGCACCAAACATCCAAGGTCAGTCCGATAGAGACAACATTTTTCACAGAGTATTAAATTAAGTACTAAATGGCGTATGTGATTTTAGGAAATATTCCGGAACCTTAAAAATAAAAGTGCGCGGGTTATCATATCTATTAGGTTTGTGCGTATAAAAAGTCGGATTCTTAAGTGATTGTATAAAACTGCATATGTCTCTTCAAAAGCCGTTTATTCAATCAAAGTATGCTCCATTCGCTTCAATACACGTCTTCCAACAAGATTTCAAAGCGTAGATGCCTGTCTTTAAAAAAGAAATAAAAATAATCATTTCCGACCCTATAAAGTATATATATTCTTGATCAGCGTAAAATTCTATGACGATTTAGGCATGTCAATCTGTCTGTTGTAATAACTCTAGCGTCTAAAAGAATTGAGATAGATCGCCAAAATTTTGCATAGAGTTGTCTTTTGTCTGCATCTTCAAGTTCGAAGATGGGCTGTATCGGTCCACGTTTAGGCATAGCTCCCATATAAGTGTACCCATAATTTTCTGTATTTTGGGGTTTTTGAGCGCGTATTTCAAACGAATTCGCTGAAATTTGCTACATGGGGTTCTTATTGGGTACTAAATGTCTCCACAGGATACCCCCTATTTTGCGGTATTTTAAGGTTCTTGAGCGCGTTTTCAGCTGAATTCGCCGAAATTTGGTACTGTGAGTTCTTATGGAGTACCAAGTCCCTCCACTGAAAATTATAAATATAGGTCCATTTTTTCGGATAGCCCCCATATAAGTGTACCCCCAATTTCCGGTATTTTGGGGTTCTTGGGCGCGTTTTATAACTGAATTCGCCACTAAAAATTATTAATATAGGTCAATTTTTTTCTGGTAGTCCCCATATAACGGTATCCCCAAATTTTTGGGTATTTTGGGGATTCTGCTCGTATTTTTCGACCGAATTGGCTGTAATTCAGTACTTCGAGTTCTTATTGGGTAGCAAATCTCTCCATTATAAATGCTAAATATAGGTCCATATAAGGGTACCCCCCAAATTTCGGTGTTTTGGGGTTCTTAAATGCGTTTTTCAATCAAATTCTTTGTAATATGGATTTTTGTAGTCGTATATGGTAATAAACCTCCCTCCCAAAAATTATTAGTATTCGCCCCATTTTAGGAGTAGTCCCCATATAACCCTCTTTTTATACCCTCCACCATAGTATGGAGGGTATATTAGTTTTGTTTTTCCGTTTGTAACGCATCGAAATAATCATTTCCGACCATAAAAATTATATATATTCTTGATCAGCATAAAATTCTATGACGATTTATGCATGTCTAAACGAATTGACATAGATCGCCAAAATTTTGCATAGAGTCGTCTTTTGTCTGCAGGTCAAGTTCGGTATTTTGAGGTTCTTGAAATCGTTTTTAACCGAATTCGCTGAAATTTGGTACTTTAAGTTCTTATTTAGTGCCAAATATCTACACAAAAAAATTATAAACATCGGCCCACTTTTTCTGATAGTCCCCATATAAGGGTACCCCCAAATTTTCGGTATTTTGAAGTTCTAGAGTGCGTTTTTCAACCGAATTCGCTGAAATTTGGTACTTTGAGTTCTTATTGGGTAGCAAATCTCCCCATTAAAATGTAGAAACATCGGTCCACTTTTTTTAATAGTCCACATATAAGGGTACCCCCCCCCCAATTTTCCGTATTTTGGGGTTCTTGAGCGCGGTTTTCTACCGAATTTGTTGTAATTTGGTATTTTGTAGTCATTTTCCTAACCCCTTTTTTATATTAAAATGGCTAATTTGTTCTGTGTGTTGGGGTTATCCCCATATAGCTGTATTCCACCATAGAATGGGGATTCTAAACGGTTATAGCATGGAATTGTAAAACGATTTAGTCGATGTTGTGATCATTTTTCTATCGGAGGATATCGACATAAAAACTAGAACGTGAGGTTTGATAATGAACTATATCGACCCGCATGTAGGTCCAGGTCCTATATTAAACATCATACATATTTAATATTTAGCGTGATGCACGGTATTGGGATTCAAAACTAAATTATTAGCTTGGAACTTGAGCTATATAGGCCCTTAATTAGGCATAACCTCTTATATATAAATGAAAATCGGACATCGAGAGATTCGGTGAATATGGTGGATGCTGCAGAACTTCATATTCCGGTTCGTTCAGTTTCGCAATTGTTTAATTTCACTCCGTCAGTGCGTGCAGTACCCACTTGTCTTCTTTTTAACCTTGCCAATCTCAGAAAGGTGTCTCAATATCGTTGTATGGTCAACTTTCATCCTGACAGCAAGTTCCCTCGTGGATACGGCTGGATCCGCTTTCACTAGAGCCTTCACGTCATCGTTCTTCACAGATGTTTTGGGACTTCCGCGCGGCTCGTTTTGCAGTGATAAATCGCCAGTTCGAAATTTTTCGAACCAACGCTGCACTTTCCGATCGTTAACCGCATTCTCCCCAAACGCTTCGTTTATGTTGCGAGCAGCTTTTGCAGCACTATTACCCAGTATGTACTCATATAAGAAAATGACGCGAATGTCTGCAGAATTCATATCGGCAATAAACTCAAAAGAAGTAACAAAAGGGAAGACCTTCGAGAAAACCTATTTTGCTGAAATGAGTCTCTGGCAATGGACAATACGACTATGAATGAGATTATGCCAAAGACAAAAGTATAACGAAAACAGGGAGACAAACGTCCGCATGTAAAGAGAATCGGACATTTCATACGCACCAACCTAATATCTATTGACATATATGGGAAATTACAAAAATCTTTTAAATTCCTTGAAGCTGAGGTTTGCAAGGTTATAACTCGCGAAATATGAACATATTGCATATAATTTAAATTCATTTCTGTAAAATGAAGTGTTCTTGTCAAAATCTTAAAATATGGGAAAAAATAATAAGATGCGTGGAAGCTGTGATGGTGGCAATGTAAAAAAATTAGTGAAAATGTGTTGAAGCCAACATGTTTTTTGTGTTCCTTCCTGATTTGTGGCTAAACTACACAACGCACGCACATATCAGTGACTAAGTTGCAGAATACCCCATGGACAATATGGTTATAATGTATGATTTTTCGATATAATCACTGCATACACCCAAAATGGATGCTGACGAAAATAGGTCAAAAATATATTGATACGCGAATATTATGCGTATTTTATCCAAAATCGATTGTGGAGGCACATCCGCGGTTCTTAACTGATCCTTTTAAAATAGGTGTCCTTTTGTGTATTTTCATAGGAGATTACTGAAATCGGATGCGCATAAAAATCGTATGCACGTTGCGCCATTTTTAGGATTTTTGCATAGTAAAGTGCATCGAGCGGCACACTTTGGCCGCTTAATGAAACCTCGAAAAATTTATAATTATTGGAACCGCATGCGCATCAACTCATTTCAACTAATACGCGAACTGCATGCTTTTTAATGTTGATCATTTTCATATACTGTAACTGCGATATATTTGGTCATTTTTAACGGCAAAACTCTTAACGGAGGAATCTACCGATATTTAACAATCATATAACAGAATTTGTAGAAGAAATCGTCACGTGTTGTAGAAGATCTAAATCTAGATCTATTATCTTAACCATACCAAAAAATCAAAAATTGAAAAAAAATTTGTGTCAATTTAAAAATTAATTTATTTTATTTTCAGATATTTTCAAGCTTTTATTTGTTTTTCGCAACTATTATACAGTATTTCAATGTGATTTGACTAGTATGCACAGAAAACAAATGTGTTTAACCATTTGTAAAGAAATTCGCAAATAGGAGTTAATTTAATTTATATTTGAAATACAAGATTTAAAACCCCTATAACTTTTGTGCGCAGCATCCGAATTTGTGAACGCGAACAGATTTTGAATCACCTATTCCTTAACCTCTGTACCAAAAATCATGAATGTGCTAGCAAAAAAAAATTTAGTAGTGTTGGCGGTTTATTTGGGATACCATTTGTATTTTGTGTTTGCAAAATAGTCAGGCTGAATCCCAGTTTGTTGTTTTTATAAAAAAAAAACAACTATTTATTAGTGGGGAATGTATGGCATTGTTTGCCGAGGGGTAAGGCAGGGAAGACTATAGTTTCGGATCACGCCACTGATCCTCATGAGTTCCCTTAGTTTATTTTTTGGGGATATTCTCCCCAGAAGCTATTGCTTCTATACAAAAAAACCTTTCATACCCAAATGTCTGTTGTAACAAAGCGAAGTACTTAGCTGACCAACGATACTGACTATTTTCCAAAAACAAAATACAAATGGTATCCCAAATAAACCGCCAACACTACTGAAGTTGTAGACGCAGGCACGGTTAAACAGTTTGGTTTGTTGCTGTATATTAGCAACACCAACAAAGTCGTTGTGTGCATTTGTTGCTATGTGACAACACACAACAATGGGAAAGGTATGGAATTGTTTGTAAATGCCTTGTTAACCTCGAAGTGAGGCACCAGCGAAATTCTCATGCAGTTTATGTCGTTGGTCAGCTAAGTACTTCGCTTTGTTACAAGAGACATTTGGGTATGAAAGGTTTTTTGTATAGAAGCAATAGCTTCTGGGGAGAATATCCAAACAAAAAACTAAGGGAACTGATGAGGATCAGTGGCGTGATCCGAAACTATAGTCTTCCCTACCTTACCCCTCGGCAAACAATGCCATACATTCCCCACTAATAAATATTTGTTTTTTTTTATAAAAACAACAAATTGGGATTCAGCCTGACTATTTTGCAAAAACAAAATTTTTTTTTGTATTTTAAAGGAATTTTGTAATTTCCCATATACCAAATTGGCTAAAATTAATTTTTAGAAATTTAATATTTCAAAATGTTTTCCTTTGAATAAATATTAGTGTCAAGCTGTGCATATTACGTTCATGTTACGTACAAGGCTGAGGGTATAAAAAATTATTTATAGAGAAGGAAATCGTTGAGCTGAAGTCGTCTGTAGTAAATTTACGACCATAAATATTGACACCAACAGAGAAAAGGTTAAAGTTTTTCAAGATACATATGGGAATATTTTGCCGATAAGTTTTTACAGTTCTTTTATTTAGAATATTTCACTTGTTCATTATCTATACATGGTTTCATTTAAAATATTATATTCTTGAGCCATTGCCACAGGTGATGTTTTCTAAATTTCTCATAATTTGTCTAAAGCAAAAAGGTTACTGTGGACATTCCCTTTTTAACGTTTTTAAGTCTAAAACGAATTTGTGTTTACAAAAATATAGCTCTTGAGTATATAACACCTTATTTTATTGTTGTGATAGTCGTAAGAGCATTTCCCAACCGATGTGGCTGTAATTAGGCATTCTGTTAGTTATACGACCAAGACGCACGTATTTTAGATATTTTGATGAACCTAGGCAGGTTTTTAAAGGGCGAAAACTTATTTACATATCAATTCAATATATCTATTATAAGATATTCAGGCCATTCACCAACACCTTTGTAAATAAATATTTTCCAATTCAAAGAATTCCCAGTGGATGCTTGTCACCATGTCATTTTCAATGATGCGTAAACCTTATCGAAAGAAACAAGAACCGGTGTTACGTTTTAGTCATTGATATTTGCGTGTAGATGAGGCGATTTGAGAACAAATTTTATGAATGAATTATTTCTCTAAGCATTCATGAACATGCGCAATGTGCGCCATTCATTCCCCTTTTTCGATGTTGTCAAAATCAAGTGTTCATTTCGCCGTTTATGTCAAACATAAGTTCGCCGCGTTCTCTCAGCATTTATTTTTAGAATTGAGCATCAAAACAATTGTTGTTGTTGGGTACTGCGAAATGTGCACGGAAATTGATTAAACGAAAAATCTAATGATTTTCTGTCGTTGATGCATTCTGGTTGGTTCAAATTAAATTCATTCATTCGGCATTTTATGTGGCACTAAAGAAAAATAAATACAAGTTTACATTAAAATTTATTTACATTGACTAGCGTTTTATTATAACTCATAAAAGGTGCGAAACCAGAAACGAATTATTTTTATTTATTTAGCTAATGTCAATACTTGTTTTAAAAATTTGGAAAATTTCTTCAAAGGCAGTGTATCAGGTGTTATATACTCAAGAACTATATGTTTGTAAACACAAATTCGTTTTAGACTTAAAAACGCTTAAAGGGAATGTCCACAGAAACCTTTTTGCTTTAGACAAATTATGAGAAATTTAGAAAACATCACCTGTGGCAATGGCTCAAGAATATAAGAATATATGTATATGGGGTTAGGTCAAATAAAATACAGGATTTTACAACAATTTTGTAATTACTTAGAAAATTTTATTAACATTTCAATTATATCAAAATGATTAATTGCACAATGACTTTATTGTTGTAAATTATTATAGAGGCATTTGGTTGTAAAATGTTTTATGACTACGATTTAAGTCTACAAAAACAGTGTAGCTATAAAACCTAGATTAAATGTTGGATAAAAACCATGAAAAGACAAAAGAAAAAACAACAACCTTTAGTCAGACTATGCCGATCATTATGTACCCTCCTATTTAAGAAGTTAAGAGATAATAAAATAAAAATCCAATTGCCTCAATTGCTGAATAAAATTTTACAGTTCAAAACAGCTATGTATACTTTAATGTAACAATACCATAATGATATTAATGAATATATTATTATATCAGTGAAATATTTCGAGATGCCACAAACGACATGATACAATTTATATGCCCCATCCCTGATGAACGCTACTCCAAAGCCATTAAATTAACACAAAAAATAATAATAATAACAGAATCATGTCTTTGTGGAAGAGGAAATGTCTGTTTTTGATGGTCAGATGATAAGAAATTTTACCACCAGTAAGGTATTTGAGAAGAACATTGTAATTACGACATAAAAATAAAATTCATAATGAAATTGATTTAACAGTTCCATCATAAAATTATAAAACAGCTCTAGGTATACGCTACACCAAACTGTGCTACATATGTTTGTAACATGCAAAAGGAAACGAGATAGACCCATTGATATATTTCCCATATACGAGGGCAATTCGGAAAGCACAAAAGCACGGTATAAACAGAAAAAAGTTAATAGTTTTGGAAACTTCCATCTCTGCTATGAACACATAATTTTGTTTTGATGTGGCAACTCATTCATATAGAAACAGGTGTTCAAAAAGTACGCATCTGCATTTTTTTAAATTGAAAGCACGCATTTCTAATTTTTCCATTGTAAAAAAATTGTGGATGCGTCTTTTTTGAACACCTGTAAGGATAGTAATACAGTCGGACTGGGGACCGGTCAATGGGACAAACATAAGTGTTTGGTGCACCATTTATGTAAAATCGGATGAACATAAAGTCGGTTCGAAATCAGAACCGAAACTTTCTATACTCAATTCAGTACGCTATGCCAAATTTCGTGCAAACCGAAGGATATATAGTGACTTTGGAGCACCATTTACATAAAATCGGACGAAAATATACAGTGGTGGTCACGTAATTAAAACATTTATCGTGGTAAACATTTTTGCAGTATAACTAAGTGTTCTGTATTAAAAAAT